GATTAAGAATTTCTTACATGTATTTCATGCTTTTATGTATAAACTCATTGTTAAATTTGCACGCATTTATCTTGCACTGAATGTCTTCCTGGGTTTAAATTATATAGTGATAAGATGGCATGTATTTTATAACCTAGAAGTTATGATGGAACAAAAGAAAAAATATGTCCTTTTGAATGTTAATAATGTTCTTAAGATGGAGAATGCACCTAATGTTAACCAGTTTATTATTTTAATTAAATTCATTAATCATGTGTTCTTTGTTCTAGTAGTTTTTTTAATTGTAAAGCATGTAATGAATAAGGTTGCCTTGAATGTGATCCTGGATATAAAATATATGAAATAACAGGAGTATGTTCTAAAAATCATTAAGATACTAGAGTAAATAATAAATAATTATGTCTTCACGAATGTTAATAATGTAGTGCAGAAGGTGTATGCTCATAATGTAAATAGGTTTTTTATTTTTATTATTAAAGTTAATAATGTGAGCTTTGTAATAATAAATTAAGTAATTGTCATGTTTGCACAAAAAATGCTTGTATCGAATGTCTTCCTGGATTTTAATTGATAATGTTTCAGGATTATGCACTTCTATATCTGAAGGTGATGAATAAAATGAAATAAAATGTCCTTAAGAATGTGAATAATGTAATTAAATTAGATGCACTTAATGTAAATAAGAATATTATTTGGATAAATAAAGTTAAAAATGTGAGATTTGTAATAATAAATTTAGTGATTGTTTGAATTGTAATGAAGATAATTGCATATTATGTTTTCCTGGATTTTAATTAGACATCATTTCAGGATAATGTAATGTAAGACCTTTAGATCAAGATAACTGTGCTTAAGATTGTCAATAATGTCAGTTATATATTTCTGAATGCGCTTAATGCAAACAAGGATATTATTTGCATTAATTTGAAAAAACATGCATTCTTTGTAATATTAAATATAGTAATTGCTTGTATTGTAATGAAGATATTTGCATCGAATGTCGTCCTGGATTTCAATTAAATAGTATTTCAGGATAATGTATGGTAGTACCTAGAGGTGATGAATAAAATGAAATAAAATGTCCTTAAGAATGTGAATAATGTAATTAAGTTGGATAGTACTTAATGTAAATAAAGCTACTATTTAAATTAATAAAGATAATTATGTTTTCATTGTCATGATAAATTTAGCCATTGTCAAAATTGTACGGAAGATGTTTGCATCGAATGTCTTCCTGGATTTTAATTAAATAATGTTACAGGATTATGTACTTTATTACCTGATGACTAAAATGAAATATAATAATGTTCTTAGGAATGTTTTGAATGCAATTAAGATAGAGTATGCACTTAATGTAATAGAGGTTATTATTTAAATTAATAAAATAAATAATGTGTTTCTTGTCTAAATAAATATAATGATTGTTTAAATTGTAATGAAGATATTTGCGTCTAATGTTTACCTGGATTTATATTAAATAGTAAAGCATAATCATGTAATTTAATACCTATAGATGATGGATAAAATAAAAAATAATGTCCTTAAGAATGTAAATTATGTAATAAAGTTGGAGTATGCATTTAATGTAGATATGTTTATTATTATAATTTTTATACTTAAAAATGTACTCTTTGTCTTAATAAATTTAGTAATTGTCTAAATTGTAACGAAAATGTTTGCAAAATATGTTTTCCTGGATTTTAATTAGATAGTATTTCGAAATAATGCAAATTAATATATATAGACAAAAGTTAATAATAGGAAAGTTTTTAAGGAGTATTAGTTTTTGCATCTATTTATTCTTTATTTGGAATATTATTGTGATGATTTAAAAAAAAAATTAAATTTTTTTTATTTTATTAATATTTAATATAAATTTCTATAATGTATTTTTTATAAATAAATTTCTAATTTTTATTTTAATTAAATATAAAATATTTAATAATGAATAAAATTATTAAAATAAGTTTTTAAAAAAATTAAAATTAATTAAATAAAATATTTAGTTATATTAGTAATTATGTTTTTTTTTATTTATTAATTTTATTTATAAATAGATTAAAAATATTTATTTATTTTAAAATTAAAAAAAAAAAAAAAAAATTATATTATATATAAATATATTATATAATTAAAAAAATATAAAAAAAAAATATTGTTATTTTAAAAATAAGATTAAGAATAATTATAATTTTGATATATATAAAATAAGATAATAAAAATAATTTATTAAATAAATTATTCTAAAAAAAAATGTAAATAATTTTTTAATAATTATAATATTTTATTATATTTAATAATTTTAATAAAAATTATTAATATAATATAAAAAATATAATATTAATTAGAAATTTATATAATAAATTAATGTTATAAAAAAATAAATATTAAAAAATAAAAAAAATAATAAGAATTTATATTTATAAAATAAATTGAATACTTTGATAATTATTTAAGTCTTAAATTTAAATCTACTGTAAGAAAATAAAATAAAAAACATAAAAATATTTAAATTAAAAAATTATTAATTAATATTACAATATTTAAAAAAAAAATATTTATAATATTTAAGAATAAAAAAAAAATATATATATTATAAAATTGTCATATAAATATTATTATTATTATTTTTATTATTATATATTATTATTATTATTATTATTATTATTATTATTAAAAAATATTTTTTTTTAAACAAAATTTTTATTAAAAAAAATAAAATTATTTATATAAAAAATAAAATTATACAGAAATTCATATAATCTGTTTTTTTTTGATAATTAAACATTATTTTATTCTTAAGGTTTAAGTACTTACATTTTTCTTGATATTCCTATAAACATATTTACATATTTTAAACTTTTTAAAGTTTTTTATTTTTTTCTCGTTCTTCATAATAATGTTTCAGAATTTCTACTTTATGGTGTTTTCTTCATAATTGTCTATGATTTTTTCGTAACTAATTTTTTTAATTCTTTTTAAATTTTCTTTTATTTTTAAATTTTTTAGAATCTTTTTATTTAAATTGTTTATTTTAATTTTCATCTTTAAACTATAATTTGTCAAAAATAACTTTAATTTTATTTAAAAATTTATATTTTTTTTTACTAATGTTTCATTTATACTTTTTAATGCATATAAAAATAAACAAAAAAATAAATATATAAATTAAAAATTTTATTCTCTTTATAAGAACTTTTTTGCTTTTTAAACTAAAGTCAATGTTTAAATAAACTTAATTTGATATTTAAGTGAATTAAAATCAATTAAATCATCATTATAATATTAATTTTAAAAATAAATTCTTAAAAAAAAGTTGTTTAATGTAAATAATATTTAATTATTTTAATTTTAAAAAAAATTAAAAAAGATTATTTAAATATTATTATCTATTTATATATCTTTTTTTAAAAAAAAAATACTTGAGGAATTAAATTATAAAATATATCTGATATTTTTAAAATTTATATATCAAGAAAAGAAAAATTCCTTACTTAACTTATATAAAATTTAATTTATAAAGAACTAAGAGTTGTAAAATATACAATATTATTAATTATCTTAAAAATAAGTTATATATATTTTTATTAAGAAAAAAAATTAATGTTTTCTTTTATAATTTAGATAGAATATAAAAATTATATTTATGATTTTTTATTTTAAAAAATATTTATTTTTATTTATATTAAAAAATTAATTTTTTTAAAAATAAATAATAATAATTAAATTATTAATAAATATATATTAATAATATAGGTTTTTTATACAATATAATATTTTTATAATTATTTATTTTAATTATCATTTAAATAAAATATTAATTAAATTAATAAAAAAATAAATAAAAATCACACTTTTTTTAAATAAAAACAATAATAATTTTAATTAAAAATTACATATAATAATATAATTAAGAATTGAAAGTTTTAAGACTTTAAAAAATAATAAATTTTTAATGTTTTGAATAATAGATATAATATTTTTGGAGAATTATAAAAAATATGATATAAACTTTAAAAGTAAAACTAAAATATTATTCTTAATTGTTTTAATTCTAATTATACTTAAAATTAGCATTAAAAAAATGCTTTTATTGATAAAAAATAAATAAATTTAAAAAAAATACTTCTTGTCTTAAAAATAATAATAAAAAAACCAAATAAGTTTATTTAATAGTAAAAAATAAAAAAGACATATATAATAAAAAACTAAAAATAAAATTTAAAAGTCTATACAATTATTTATAGACTACTTTTTTATATAAATAAAAAAAATTATATAAATAATCAATAATATAAATAAATCAGAAATTCAATAAAAAAATTATTAATAATTTTAAATTATAAATGAATTAATTTCAAATTCTATAATTATAATATTAATTCATTATAAAAAATTTATATAGAATTTATAAATAAAATAAAATAAAACATATATTTAATATTTTATTTTATATCAAAAACAAATATCAATCAATTTTAATATTGTATTTTTTATTTTATAATTAAATAAAAAAAATTAAAACTTTTTTAAAAAAACATATATTAAATAATTAATTTATAGAAATAAAATTATAGTATTATGTGAATTTACTGTATATATTTTTATATTAGATTTATAATTTAATAATTGAAAAAAAAAATTAAAAAATAATAATTAAAAGCATAACTAAAAATATAAATATTCTTCAATACATAATTATAAATAAATAATCATAATAACAATCCGAATAAAACATAACCAATAACAAAAGTAAAGACTCTATAATAGCTATTATATTATTAACTATCGCCTTAAGACTTAAATAAAAATCTATCCCACCCAAACGTTTCACACCTATTTTTTTCAGTATTAAACCAATATTGTTCTTCACATTTAGTGCATCTTTATTAATTACATATTAGACAATTAGTAAATTGAGTACATTTTTCTTAACATAATCTATATCTAAATCCGTTTGAATTTGGTACATCATAATCTTCAATATAACCATCCGAACAAGTATAACACATTCCTTAATAATGACAACTGGTACATCCCTAATCGCATTATATTAGACTAGGATTGTCGGTAATTAACATACATTTTCGTTTTCTTTCAAAATATTCATAGCCAACTTCACATGAATTGCAACTATACTTATTACATTTAGTGCATCTATTGATAAAATTACTACATTTAAGACATTCTACATATTAATAGCCTTTATTATTTTCTTAATTATTAAAAAAACCTAACTGACAACTTTAACATACTCCAGAATCAGAACATTCACATCCTTCAGGACAGTTATTTAAAATTCTACTAGTGATTTATAAGCATTATTTACTTTCTTAATCTTATTAATAACCATCTTAACATTATTAACATTCCCCAGATTAATTACATTGTCTACATCCTTAAGGACATCCATTTTCAGTATTTAATAAATTAGTCAATGCACCAAATATAAAAATATTTATTAGAATTAGTTTTTATAGCATTATATTTTTTTATATAAATTTATTAATTTATAAAAATATAATCTAATTATAATTTAATTTTATTAAAATACAAATATTTATATTATTTTTCATATTTTTGATGATATATAAATTTAAAAAATATTAGTTTTTAAATATCTATTTTATATTAAATTATTTATGAAATTCCTATATTATTTATTTATTTTTGACAATTTTTTATAAAAATATAAATATTTATGTAATAGTAAATAAAATATTTTTATTAAAATATATTAATCTATATATATTTATTGATTTTTTTATGAAAATTAATTAATTATTATTTATTTCATTATAAAATAAAATTTTATATATATAATTAATAAATAGTATATTATAAAAATTATTTTATATTAATATATAATTTTATATATATTATTTATTTTTGAAAAATATATAATATAATTTTATTATAAATTTACTCATTTTTTATATATTTTAATTATAAATATATTAAAATACAATTATTAATAATTTAAATAAAAAAATATCTTTTTAAAATAATTATTAAACATAATTTTTTTTTTATAAATAATATATATTTATTATTAGATTGATCAATATATAATATAATCAACTCTTTTTTTATCTAATATTATGTTTGGAAAATATTATTATTTATAATATCTAAGTTAAATTTAATATTTAACTACTTAAAATTAGTGATTAAAAATGCATTATTTAATTATTAAAATAGTATTCTGATAATAATTATATTTATTTTTATATATTAATAAAAATCTATATTATCTTTAATTTTTATATTAATTTTATTTTAATATATTATTATTTTTGATTAATTTTATTTTTAGTATATATATTGTTTATATAAAATGGGATTATTTTTTAATAATCACTATTTATTTTAAAAATGTAATAAAAAATCAATTATTAAAAAATATAAATATAACTATTATATTTATTTTTATTATTTTTTGAATAATATTAAGATTTTTTATAACATAAGAAGTTCGCTATATATATTATTATAAATTTAAATTAGATTAAAATATGAAATATAAATAATTATTAATTATATTCCATATAAAAATATTAAATATTTTATAAAAATAAGTATAGATAATAATTATATTTTTATTTTTTATGTATAGAAATAAATTAAATATATTTTTTTCTCTATTATTTTAAAAAATAAAGTATCTTAATAAATAAATAAGGAA